TCGTGCTCCTCGGCTCCTTGCCCCGAGACACGCTTGCGCGGTCTGCTCGCCTGCGTCGTGCTCCTCAGCTCCATGCTCCCCGAGACACACCTGCGCGGCTAGCCCGCCTGCGTCGTGCTCCTCGGCTCCTCGGCTTCATTTTCCCTTAGACCGCGCCTGCGCGACCAGCCCATCTGAAAGCTTAAGCCATGCCTCGGACTCCCGTTACAACGTCTGACGCATAGCTTCTTTCCGGGGGGGAATATGATGAGAATAGTAATTATGATAAGACTCGGCTGACGTCAGTCGACGCCTCATGCCTCGATCGACGTGACTGCACTCGGTCGACCGAACCGGAACACCGGCCGAGGCGCATTAATGCCTACTCAGGCGTAGTTCTTCACGCCACGCCAACGCCCATGCCAGACGCTATCAGCTTGCCTCCTGTAGGCGGGCACATCGAACAACAGTAAGCTTCCCTATAAATACCCTCTCGTTCATCAAAGAGAGGGGGACCGAAGGGATGCAGGAGAGAACACTCCAGGGAGACATCTCAAACTCTTCTCCTTTCTACCTCCTCCACCATCTGCTGACTCGATCGTCGGAGGGGTCGGGTCGAGCCTCCCGACCCGACCTGTGTGCAGGACTGCAGACGGAGCGCGTGCCCAGCCGAGGAGCCCCCTCCGGCGAAGTCGGCCAACCCCGTCCGGACCGCCCTAGCCGACCACCTCGGCGAACCCGAGGGCCGCACCGGGAAGATCCCGCCTTCTGGACCCGAATCGAGCTGCGTCGGCCCCGAAGCCACGGCTCAAAGTTGTTTACCACGACATGCATTTGATGATGGAGATGTATTCATCCATAGGCTGTTATGAGAAGAAGAGAAATGGAACTCCACTTATTCCTAACAAAGAGAACCAGCACACTTGCAGACCATGAACTGAGGAAGTCGAAAGCAACTACTATTTTGTGTTCCCTGACTACTGTTCCGAAGAAAGATTCCATGTCCCTTGTTCATAGGTAGTTCTCATAAACCAGTGTCACTCATGCTTGGAATATGGCTGCACTCAGCATCCGATACAGAGTTGTCAGGTGATCCAATGTTTCCGGACGAAGATGAATCCCAGTTCCTGCATTCATGGCCACCTGGAAATGCGGGCCTCGTATGGAAGCTAGTGTAGGATTTGATTCGTGGGTCGAGCCATTCATGTCTGTGGATTGAATTGGCCACCCTTTTGTTGGGCAGTGCTCTGATCACATCCAGCTTTGGGGTGCACCTAATCAGCGACGCATGCGAGTATCCCATTTCAATTGGATCCTGGAATGAGTAGCAAAGGATGTGCTTATTGTTTCCCCTGTTTCAGCTCATTCTCAGGTTGTTGATGCATAAACAAAGCCCGAATCATGATTGCAACTCTGTACCCTTTGGGGTCCAAATTTAGTGTTTTTTGTGTTCAAATTCAATCTAAATAATGTCTACAAACAATATTAAAAGTTCAAACAAGAGAGAATCAAGCATGAGATAGGCCTTTTGAAATAGTTCGATGCTCTCTCTCTCTCTCTCTCTCTCTCTCATCATCAATTCATTTTCTGATTACTAATTAACGAGTTATCCTTTCTTAACCTGAAACCCCTAACTGTTCTCAAGGGGAAATCTTTCCATTTGCATGAGTGTGTCACTCAGATAGGACCTTAATACAAATGCCCATAAATCGATGGTGGAAGATAACCTGTTGCTAAGGATTGGAGAGATGGAGGCTCTCATGTCTGTGAAGATTACTATCACTGTCTTGTTTTTTAGGATCGGACAGCAGTAGTTGTCTTCTAAGTTGCTAATGACGATTGCATGTGAACGGTGGCAATAAAAGTGGCTGGTAGCGGACTTAATATGTAAGCTGTGATGGGAAAACAATGGCCTTCCTTCCACTATGGGTATGTGAGCATAAAAATTGCTACTGTTATTTTTTTAATATTAAAAATTAAAATTAAATAATAATAAATTAAAATTATAATATATACATTTTAATGCCAATGAGAAAATTATTATTTGATCTATAGATGTATCATCATCAATTTCGAAAGCAACAATATCGATACCCAAGAAGAATTATATTTGTATTCTTATCTTTTCCTATCCTTTATAAAACTACTATGAGCCATGGATTATGAATTAAGAAAAATCAAGAATAAATCTATAATCTCAATAACTAGCATTTTGTCCCTAGTAGATCTTACCCTTTTAAGACAAGAGCGGAGGGTCCAAGATGATAATCATGAGAGTCCCTTCCATCATGATCATCTCCTAAGGAATTCTATCATGATTGAACTTTATATTTATTGGTCGATAAGCATAATTAAAATCTAATCAAATCTATAATATATATATTTTTTAATTAGATAGAGCCACATAATCTAACATTCTCCCACTTGGCCCGATAAGATATAAAATAATTTAAAATTAAAATTAAAAATTAAAATTTTATTTAAAAATAATTTTACTTAATTAGATTCTAAAATTTTTAAAAAAATATTTTATACATTATTATAAATTTTAAAATAAGTCAATAAATCCAATGAGTATAATAATAATACATTAAGTACAATTACCAATATTTTTAACATTTATATGTCATTAGTATCATACTCCCTTCTATATATTATAATATTATTAATCTTTCTTAATATAGTTCATAATGACTCTTATAATCTATTATAATATTCAAACATAATATGTATAAACATAGATATAAACAAGATAACAAAAATGAATAACTTTAATTAAGTAAAAAATACTAATAATGGTATATATCACCATATTTCTTATGACTTACTAGTAAGTCTCATTCTAATAACATGTTATTTAAATATTTTATGGTATAAAGCTTTAGTAAATTGATTAATGATCATCAATGTGATGCTCAAGTTTTTAATTAACACTTATTGTTTCTGGACTTTTTCTCAGACCATAACTAATTTATCTTGATGTACTTGAAACTACTAGAATAATTATAATTCTTAGAAAACAAAACTGCTACAATATTATTATAAAATATCTTCAACGATTTGATAATTGACTTGAACACACCAAAGATGAAATTCTGTAGTCATAAAATTTAATTTGTGGCCTCAAGACATGTCATAAATTCAACTTTCATTATTGATAATATAATAAGCAATTGCTTTGCACTTTTCTAAGAAATTATCTCTCCAGCATATAATCTTTCATCATTTATAGATATCTCATTATTTTCTTTATAGCTTTTCAATGTTTCATTCTTGGGTTGCTTTGATATCTACCCAATATTTCAATTACAAAATTGATATATTATATTTTACAAGCTTAGACATATAATAGACTTACAACTACATATGCATGAGGAATATCTTTCATTTGATTTTTTTCTAAGTTATTTTTAGTATACTGGCTTTGATTAAATCTTTCACTTCTAGTAATTGGTGTATCATTAGTGAAACAAAGTTGTATACTAAATCTCTCCAAAACTTAATTAATATATTATTTTTAATATTATTTTAGTAATCCTTGACATCTATCTATAAATATCTCAATATCAATAATATAAATTGTTTCATTCATATCAATCATTTTAAAATTCTTCGTGAGAAACATCTTGGTTTCATATAGTAAACTAAAATCATTGCTAATAAGCAAAATATCATTCATATATAAGACTAATATTATAAACTTACTCACATTGACTTTTAGATATATATACTAATTTATAAAATTTTAAATAATACCTTTATGTGAAAAATAAATATTATTTTATAATTTTAAATAATACATCTGAATAATTAAATAAATATCTAAAAATAATAATTAGAATTTAACTATCACATGTAAGAAAACTATAAAAGAAAATTAAAATATATATATTTTTAGGCACAAAATTAGGCTAAACATCAACCCAACTAATTAAATTAAAATTAACCAAAGTCAAATTTTGATTAAATGATCAAATATAAATCCAGTCAAGCAATTGCAATATAGTCAAGATTAAGTTTGATCAAATTATTTGATTAAATAAATCAAATTAGTTAGTTTTATAGTTAACTAAATCAAGATCAAAATAAATCAAGATTAAATAAATCAAAATATTGCTCATGCGTTCACAAGATGACCCTATTGGTCATTGTAATTGTTCTTGTTCACTGCACAACTAATGAGAACTATGGCCTTCGACATCTATTCAATGTCGGTCACGACCAACAAACACAGTAGCAGTGGCATTATTATATATATTTATCAAAGGCAATGCTGTAGTCGTCGCAAGTAGCGATACTACTGTAGTCGCCTACGATGAAGGTAAGTCGGCCATTGTAAAACTACTGCACACAAGCAATCAAGCATGTGATCGCCCCGATTATTGCACCCCACCATGCTTTCATTGTGTAAAACAACGCCTATATGCAACTGCTACCACAAGGTCGATGACCATTGGAGGTTGTCGCTCTCAATAATATATTGCGTAGAACATCACAATGCCCACAAGCAAGTGACCAAATGGATGAGATAAGAAAGCAGATCGACAAAACGATAGATTATTCAAGCATCATAAATCAAGACCGAATAATATCTTTTCAAAGTAAATAGTGCTAATAAATAAGTCTAAATATAAAACAAATTTGATGTACATTTATGATCTAAGATATTTGATCTCAAAATATGATTTTATATAAATTATGAGTATAAAATCATAATTATGCTACTATGGCATACTTTAATACCATAAACTGAAATCAAAGAATAATAGATCACATTTACAATGTATATACTCTTTGATATCATTCTGAAAGCTTTTGTCTGGTCTGCAGGCATAATGTCATCGAATCCGCGAAAGCTACAATGATATCAATATAAGGAGAACTAGACTTATATTCTTCTTTCTTTCTATCTTTCATAGGACCTCAATTCATAGACCATGTCACCCAACTCCAATCATTCAAGAAATTCTTTCAGTTAGAACATCATGTGACTTTAAGTGTAGGGATTTGATTTTATTCTAATGAAAAGACAGACTAAATAAATAAGAGCTCCTCAAAAAGAGAGGTAATAACCTTTTCTTAGGATTTAGGATAATTTGCATTGGCCACTATAAGTGAAAGAAAATAGGATCAAGGCTAAGAGAGATTGATGATAGATTTATATCTCTATATTTCATTCCTAGGAAGTACTATTATAAGCGAGGGCATATAAAATTAATAATTATGAGAATTTCTCGTGTCAAGATTATCTTTTAAAAGATCTTAGTACGATTAAATTTTATTTTTATTAATCGATAATCATAATTAAAATCCATATATATAATATAATATACGTTACCCAACGTATAGCTAGCAGTTTAACTCATCCAACGTGGAGAATTATAATTCGTTGCCGATCGAAACTTAACAGTTACTGTTACATCATCTGTCTTCCCCGCAGGTTTAATGGCCTTCACCCGTGAAACCTAGTGGCCCTGTGCTTTAATGCGTCCTGCAACTACCAAGCCAACTACCAACTGACCAACCTACCTCCATTTGTGACATCGGTACAAGGTAAACCGGACCTATTTAATGGTCTGTGAGCCTCAACTCCGGCCGGCTGAGTGAAGCGGGCCACTGACGTCGCCTCTCCGCCGTCCACCTCCATATGGAGAGGTCATCATGTGGGCTACCAAAGCTTGCATGATATCTTTCCCTGTGTCCTTGATCGCCATTATTCCCTGTAGTGTAGCACCGAGTTGTGCTCACGTTGGATTGTTTGATGTCTGAGGACAGGGACAATCCTGCAGATCCACAAGACATGGCGGCTACTGTAAGAACATGGAAAGGAGGAGGCGTGCATTCAAAGCAAAAGGGACATGGAGCATCTTCCAGGTACAAAGTGAAATGGTTAAACAGCCAGCACTGCCGCCATGCTTCATAGGGGTTGAGGTTTCTCTTGTTTTACCTGAGTTGTAAGGAATGCATCTGTTCGACAAGTGAGGGTGGAAACACTTCCTGCCTCCATCGGCCACCATGGGTCAGTGTTAAAGAAGATGGACCCTGTTTCGTTGACATGGTGATCAGACCTGTAGGCCATGGAGCCTTTCCTACTAATACTCTAACGAGCTTGGCTTCCTGAGATCTTCCTAGCTACATTTCTTCTTCCCTCCCTAGCGAGACCATAGCCAGAGAAGAAGAGATACAGCAACATGTCGAGCCGCAGATCGAGGATCACCGGCAAGGAGATCAATGAGCTCGCCTCTAAGCTGCGGTCTCTGCTCCCGGAGTCTCGCCGCAGGAACATGAGCCGGGTAATCGATCAAGACCCAAAACGCCACCTCAGCCTCCTTTATGTTTGCCTGCGTTTGACGTAACAACGCATGCATGCATGCATGCACGCAGGTGTCGGCGTCCAAGTTGCTGAAGGAGACATGCAGCTACATCAAGAGCTTGCACCGCGAGGTGGACGACCTCAGTAGCCGCCTCTCCGACCTGATGTCGACGATGGAGACCGACAGCCCTCAGGCCGAGATCATTAGGAGCATCCTCGGCTCCTAAGTTTAGCAGATCTAGTGTTGTATTATGTAGACGATCTCAGGGACTTCCCTGGCTGTGCCTGTCACCCTCTGTAATATGTATTAACAGCATCCAGTAGCATTGCTTGTGCTTGATGGCGTTTAATGGTCTGGTTTGAGTTGCTTTTGATAAGTTAGCAAACACTACTAAGATCAAAGCTACTTTGGCCTAAAGATGTGAAGATGACGAAGGCAAGAAGCATGGCGAGCTCAAGCTGGTGGCAGTACTGGAAGAGACGATAGCTCGACGGGGAGGGGCCGGCCGGTCCCACCTATACTGGACGACCGTCACGTCTGGAGGACGTACGTCAAGTGAATGGAGAAGTCAGCATGCAGGGAGACAGGAGATTTGAAGACGCTCGTTCGATCAACATCAACATCACTCCTTCCTTGGTGGAGGAATTAATGACGTCCCCAGTCGCGTGATCTTTGCTCCTTTGGCTCCTCGATGGATTTAGTAGGGTGAAGCGCGCAGTAGCAGAAACAGGTACCAGTTCACAGGTAAACGCAGTTGCGCCATCAATTACCTACGTAGATGTTAAAGAATATTCACGCGGGAAGGAGATTAAAAACAACACTAAAAATAATTTGGTGTTTTTAAAATATTTATTGAGTTCAATATATAATTTAATACTTTAGATTTTAGGATTGAATTGGTATGATCTTTTATATATGTATATACATGTATATACATATATATATATATATATACATGTATATATATATATATATATATATATATATATATATATATATATATATATATATATATATATATATATATATATATATATATATAACTAAGAAGATCTAAGTCCATTTTGAAGTAGCAAGTGATCAGGAGAACTGGAAAGATGATGAGGGATGTCTCGGACGCATGTCTTCTTGTTCTTCCTACCATGATAGTACAATCCATTACTCTGACCCTGATAGACAGTAAACAATACAGAAGAGAAGGCTGTAGCAAGCCGTTCATTATTCTTCTTCCTTGTTGAGACAAAGGAGAAGACCAAATCGAGGGCCTTCAACACAAGAGTCTGCCATATTACAATTTGGATTCTCTTCCATGGACTCAAGTTGGACCCAAGTATCATTGGTTTGATGTTGGTCCAAACTAAGAAGACCCACCAAGAATTTTGAGGTCTAAGATCAGAGGTCAAAATATATCTTTTATTAAATAATTAGTTTACCTTAAGAAAAATCAAATTTTCAACTACACTATTTTGACCTTTAGCAAGTTTTTTTGTGATCAATGGGCTCACTCATTTGTGAACTTTATAATATATTGATTTGCTTTCCTATATCCTCCATTTTTACTCTCACAAAAAAAAAAGAAGAACCCATTGGTAACCTAATCTCAATGTGATAGGTGCATTGTCTGTTTATTGTAATAAAAAAAAAGGTTAAAAATAAAAATAAAAATATTTTTCTTGAGATTTGATCGATTGTCTTTATAAGAAAAATGCTGTAAGCTTTCTTGTGGTTTCAAATGCTTATAAATGGTCCCAACCCCTCGTATTAATTTGTCGAAAAATATTCATGTATGAGATGATCAATTCGCGAGAGTTCAAATTCGTAAGCATCTTGTGGTGCGATTCATCTCCATTCGGTCGAGTCACAGCTTGATCTAAATAACCTATTTCATCTAGCCTAAACATTTTCCTGATTAATTATCATTCATTCAAATCAATTTTGATGAGATCCTGAGTTCCAATGGTGTTTTGCATCTAAACCTGAGGAGGAGGAGCAGCAGCAGCAGCACTTTTTCCCCTAAACTTGCTGCTTTAATGTGCATCACCGGCAAACAGTGGGTGCTCAATCAATGTCTGCCAACCTGCATTGAGATGTGTCCACTATTTCCATGTTTGCAGAATTATTGAGGAACACCTACTACCTGTACAATCCTCCAACCCCCATCAGCTTATTATGCACATAATTATTATCATCATTACTTCCAAGAATTATCCACCGCTTCTTTAGGTTGATAGAATTGCTGTCTCTTTCATCATCCTCAACGTTACAAGCTGTTCAATCATACATGTACACACGTACTCCACATTTGTTCTGCTACTGCTACTGCTACTGCTACTGCTCACATCTTGTTCATTACTCGGCTGATTGCAACGTGCACAAGCACTAAGATATGAGAAGGAACATCATCTGTCCTTCGTTCTATATAGACCACCATGTACTACCTCGATCTCCCCTTGACACACAGCACAATACATGTCCGACCTCACCCACCAGCGTTCGTGCTAGTCACCTTGTGAGCTTCCACTGCCGCTGCAATGGACCGCTTCCTTTCTTCCGACGAGATATTGGCCACTGTAGTGCCTGTCGTGGTTTACTGGGCGTACTCCGGGGTGTATGTGATGCTCGGCTCCGTCGACAGGTACCGCTTGCACTCGAGAAAGGATGAGGACGTCAAGAACTTGGTCTCCAAGCGCGACGTCGTCAAAGGGGTTCTTCTGCAGCAGCTCGTGCAGGTTGCTGTCGCAGTCCTCGCCTTTAAGGTAGTCGTAGTAGTAGCACACAGCATGACTGCATCGTCCGCGTGTGTCCGCTTCATGGCGAGCTGGGTGTTGTTTCTGTAGATCAGCGGAGATGTTCACGGTGCAGGCGGCGCGAACGGTGGCTCCACTTCATGGCTTGTGCTCGCGAGGCAGTTCGTCGTCGGCATGTTCGTCCTCGACACATGGCAGTACTTCTGGCATCGGTTCATGCACCGCAATAGGTTCCTGTACCGCCACATCCATTCATGGCACCACCGCCTCGTCGTGCCCTACTCCTTCGGAAGCCAGTACAACCACCCAGTGGAGGGCTTGCTCCTGGACACCTGCGGCGGCGCGCTGGCGTTCGTCGTCTCCGGCATGTCGCCGAGAACCTCCATCTTCTTCTTCTCCTTCAGCGCCATCAAGGGCATAGACGACCACTGCGGGCTGTGGCTCCCCGGGAACATCCTGCACCTGTGCTTTTGGAACAACACGGCGTACCACGACGTCCACCATCAGTTCTACGGCAACAGGTACAACTTCTCGCAACCGTTCTTCATCACATGGGACAAGATCTGCGGAACTCACATGCCTTACAAGCTGGAGAAGAGGCCCGGCGGTGGTCTCCAAGCCCGGCCGGCGATGCCTTACACGAGATCGAAGAGTTCAGTGCGATAACGCACTGTAGCTATCACTTACTCTCGTCATCGTCTTCATGCTTGTCGATATGATCGCGGGTGATTCCTCGTGCAGTCAGTGGCACATCAGTCCAATGACTGCTTATATTGTTTCTCTTAAAAAGAATAATTCCAGTGTGCTTGACACCTCTTACGTCAATTTTCACTGTTTGGACCACCATTACCGCTGAGTGAATGCAGAAACACCGTCATGGAGGGCACAAGGCGATGTTCTAACATTCTGCAGTACTTCATGCACCTACCTCGTTCTCTGCAAGAATAAGCCCTGCTGATGATGGCTGTCATGGAGGAGAATGCACTTATCCGGGAACAGGTTCCTTCAGAAAAGATGGGTGTTGTCTAATTCTCTATCATAGTTGAAGATCTAAGAGGAACTTCAATATTTCCTGACTTGTCAACTACAAAGATCTTTGTTTCGATCTGGAAAGGACTAGCACACTACATATATATATACATAGTTTGCAAGGACATAGCAGCTCAAGAGGCTACTCTGTCTCCTGCCTTACCGTGAAGGCAGATCCACCTATTGGCTGCAACCATCACCAAATCCAACATCTTACTGCATGAAACCCAGCATTATGATTTCTCATGGAAGTGAACAAGATGTTGCCAAATTGCACGCAGTCTATATTCTTAGGCAATTTACTGTGAAGTGCATTACATTCAGCTTTTGACTGCATGAGTGTCGATCTTTCTTAGATATTAAGGATCAATCTTTCTTCTGTTTCATTTGGTATATATATAATCAAGTATTAGTGTCAGAACAGAAGTTTAAGAACACATAAGGGCGCAGAGTATTGTTTACCTCTTGTAAGATCCCCCTCCAAATTCTCTCATTCTAAGTAGCTCTCCTGTAACCCTAATCTAAGAGACCATAGTTGATGTTGACATGACCTAACTGGTGGACCCCACATTTCGAGTTGGTGAGCGAGAACCTACGGCAGAAACCTGTGGGGCACAACATTTCCATGCAAACATACTTCATATCAGTGATAAGATCCACATGGAATGGAGACGATACTCATGGCATCAGGTTTCTATTTATTTCTTCATATACAAAGTTACCAAAACGAAACAAGAATGACCTTTCACAATAGAAGTACAATCCCTTCTTGAAACAATAACAGTTCATTACTAGAGAGCAATAAAGAATGTAATATAAATAACCGTGCACAAGAACTGTGATTTCTCAACGGACATGTAAGAGCAATGTGTACACTGGCCAACCCTTATGGTTTCCAATTCTATGGAAGAGCTCACGTTTGGTAAGACTAAAGTTATATTAGATAAGCCCTTGGTAATTGGCATCATTAACTGGCACGGGTAATTATGTAATGACCTTTCTCCAAGTCGTATATAGTCTTCATTCGGGGCCGCCTCCATTTGGACACCAACCAAGCAGTCAAAACCAGCAAAGCAGAAGCCACAAGAAGCAGCAACACTAAGTCGCCATGGATCATGGCTGTCACCCAGCCCGCATTTTCTGAACTCTTTGTCATACTCTGCACAATATAAGCTCCCAAAGCCCAATCGATTTCCATGTCTCCCACCTGATTTGTGTACTCAATCCTGCAGGAGATTTGAGAGCATCAAGATGTTTGCAAATTGATAAAGTGGGTCTACTACACGAGACACTGTAGATAACACGTGGTTAGACTTAAATGCTCTTGTAGATAATATTTTAACACATACAGCACAGTTTGTATCCTTTTCCTGCTTCCATTTTGTCTTCAAAAGGAAGATTTTTATCCTCAATAATTTTTTGTGTGACAATGTTGCTATCTTTTAATATTTAATCAAGAAGCCATAAGCATTTTGTTGAATTAGAACATCAGAATACGTCCTGAAGATGGAACTTCTTCCAACATAAATTGCAGCATATGGACTATTTGCGGCAGAGAATTTCAAGTCAAATGACATAAATCATACAGCCAAATAGTTCTAGTATAATTGTGTCGATTCACCTAGAATTCTAGAAACATGGAAAATGAAAATTCTAGAAACACTCGAGACTGTGCATACCTCTTATCATCCAGAGGAATACCAAAACTGTCATGTAGTAGCGCCACTATATATGCTGCAGAGAAACAATACCGAGACAGGTCTTCCTCATCTGCAGAATGATACTTCTTTTTAGTCTTTGACCAGTCTTGTTCACAATATTCCTCCCCAGCATGCATCATTTCGGATAGTGATGATGTTGGACTCAGACCAAAGAACTAAAATCATTTAAATGAAAAAACAATTAGATTTTTCAGATCAGAGACTCCAAGTGCAAAATCAGGCTTCCTAAGTGCCCTACAGGATATCTCTAGTTTTTGCCAGTCCTAAACCTTATATACAAATGGTAGAACACCAGTGTGCAAGCAGTTCTTGGATGACTAAATTATGATAAAGTCTGATACATAACAAAAATATAATTTTTGAAGAGCTACAAACCTTTGAAGTGTAAAAGAAATTTTCAGTTGCTATGAAGTTCCCTTGCATCTTAGGTATGAAAGTTGATCCCAAGTGGCACAGCTGATAGAGGCAATTATCTGAAGATCACAAAGATAATCTAGCAGTCTAGCTTAAAAATTGAAATAAGGAAGTACCAAAATATGTCCAGATCATACAAGACTGAATAAAAATTCATCATAAATACTTTTACGTGGTGTTGTTACAAGTGTACAAATTTTCTAAAGTAAAAATATAACTATGGAGATTTCAAAAGCAAAAATTTGATTGGAAAAGGCAAGGTGAATGAGGCTAAGGATATAATTGTCCCCATCATCGCCTGGTTTGACCAAGTGAATGACATGTATTTATTGATCCCTTGACATGGTAAATAAAGGTCCTGCTAGCTCAAGAAAAGCGACAGAGAACTGGCAAATAATCAAACAACTTGGCTCTTGCAACCCTGGTTTCTTTTCTCTAGCTTCCCCCCGTCTTCTCCTTTGTCCTCCTTTCCGACAACCTATGGTGGCAAGACAATGGAGGAGGTAAAACAATTGAGTGAAGCTCAAACCTTTAAAGCCCTAATTTGAACCAGAGTTTAGGGCCTCAGAAGCACAAGCAACATTTCTAGAGCGATGACAGAATTTATAGCACGAAGCAGCTCATTAGACAAAGGCATGTCACGGATATAGAACTGTTAGTGTTAAAATCAGTATAGGGGCCAATAAATGCCATGCAGTGGCTGTCATTGCACAGGTGGCTTCTCAGCATAAGGTCCCCATCATATGCCATGGTAGTCACAAGTGCCCTCTTCATTCTAGCACTGCCACAGCTGCTTAATACATTTCCAAAATAGATTCTCAAATATAAGTGTAAACTTTCACCACATAATCAAGACCGTGGCCCACTGCTACTTCATTCCCGTCAAACAAATCTTGATTGGTTATTATCTGTATTTATATGAATTTCACTTTTCAATAGCCAAAAATATGAACCACATATGTGGGTGCATACTACATATGCATAACTCTGTAGAACAGTCTACAAGAATTCTGAAGACATGAAAGATGTTGGAAAGGAACAATGTGGCACAGGATTTTAAAATCTGAGTTATTTATAATCAATCACCATATGCATGTTACCTCAGGTGAAAGGAAAGGCGAAAAAATACTTCATATAAAACACACGCATTGGACATGATATAGAAGAAGCAATAGCAATCTTGCTACCTTTTTCCTTTTGCAGCAGACTTAATGCAGTGGACCTACATTCTGAAAAGTTGCCCCCTGCATGTAAACCCAGTTTATGGTCCAGATATGTATTGATGACATCAGGGAAAAATGCTAATGATCACTCACCATGAGAATATCCTTTAGGGGAGCAGGGATCGACAAGAGTTCCCTCCTGTCTAGACACGTCAGCTGCACAGAGAAAAAATATGCACCATTCAACATAATTTAATCGAGTCTTTTTTAAACATCAGTGGGACCTTGCTGAATGTTGTGTTGGCAGTTAAATGAGTGTTCCTCTTTTCACATTCCCTAGAAGCTACATATTCTTTGTTAATCAATCTTATAAAGCTAAAGGTACTTCCTTGGATTTACTAGAAAAAAAATAATCTTTTCAGCTGTTCAATTGCAGAAGAGTGAATTTTTTTCAATTTTTTGACTCACATGTTTAATATTATACGCCTCTTGATTCAATAAAAGCCTCATAATCAAAAGTTCATTACATAGAAAGAAATAGAGTGCAGCCAAAGAGATTGCTCTTACCTATCTACATTAACTCAACATTATGCACTGGAGAAACTAGTCATATCAATTGCATTCAGTTAGGCAGAAATAAAGTTTCCTATGCCACTGCAAACAATTGCTAACTGCTACCTAATTGCTAATCGATGTTATCAAGAAACATCAATGTAGATTTCAAAGGCACCAGTAAACTTTGTCCCTACTGAAGTGTGTGAGGTTTACCAAAAAAAAGAAAAGAAAAAGAAACCCATGTTATCCAAGTTCCTTAGCCAATTATTTTATCTTGATGCACTCATTTTCACTTCGGACAGAAGATTACCTGTGTTAGTTAGTCCTTGGGCTACATCTACACCACTTTAGTGTAAAGAATACTGAGATAGCTAAAAACTTACATGTTTTTATGTCCCTTGAGTTAAGCAATTTTCGTAGTGACTCATGAGCAGCATTCTGCAAAATGCATGAATCAGATATAAATTTATGTCAAAAAATCAACAAGATAACCATCATTTGGGTTTGTCTGGAACTCAATTATGGAGCCAACCATCATGCATTTATACATCATTGATATTTTCCTCAACCTCTACTGAGACATTATAGTAGTTAGTGCACCATTGCACAGTTGATAGATCTCATGTTCAAGTCCATATGAAAGTGTCTTATACATCATTTAATGTAATGAATGAAAATTATTTTTATCAAAAAGATTAGTATTTTCCTCAGAATCACAGCAGAGAAAGAAAATGGAAAGTGACTTATAATGATCTAAATCATGCAAAATGAGTTAACTATTATAGATTTCTTGTGATATTGCATATAGGATTCATAAATACTTTCATGAAGGGGAATAAATACTTTGGCATGTCACCTGTCCAAAATGGAGAAAGCTGTTACTGTAGAGATTATATGTGGTTTTCCCAAAAGTCAGCATACGGGAGAACTCAGAAGGCAACGTTTCACTTGAAACAAATGTCACCTGAAACAAAACAATTTTTTAGCAATAAAGATTTCCATCTCCAATAGAGAAAACTAGATCAAACATGACAGTTCCACGTCTAAAATAACAACAATGTTCTCAGAAATATGCCCTTACACAATTATATTTGACTACCAATATATTAGAGACTCAATTAACCACTCACTCAGCTATTAAGAGAGGAATATGCATAATCAGTTTTCATAATGCCTCTTGAGTGATACCTCGATTCTAGCTCGTTAGCATCCTACTTCTAACAACATATTTTATGACATGGAAAAGGAATCCCCAAGATGTCTACATTTGCAAACGTCAGTTACATCAATTTATACTTAATTAACATTTCTTTATTTGAAGCTTAAATTATTGTGCAGTTATACATTTAAGAGTTTGTAGATAGCCCATTTAGTTTAGATTGTTTGATTCTAAAAAGAAATTAATCAAATCACAAAAGATTAAGGTTGAGGTTAGATCTCTTCACAAGATGATTTCTGCAAGTTGGTTGCAATCTATCGTATCATTAACGTATTCTCAATAACTCCACAATCTGCATGACTTCATATGACAAAAAGTTCCAAACATTGAAAAATAACACCAAGATGATTACAAAAAATTCCAAAAGTTTAACCTGTGCAGAAGCTCCGCCGAGTTCCATTATGCCAGTGGTCTTTTCAGGATCGCCACCTAAACTACCAAGTGCATAATTTGCAGCAACCCAAGCATATGTTCCTTCATCAGACCCTGTGACAAATATTTACATGGATCATAATGACATGAATTTGTTACTTGAATTCAATAGAATAGCCAGATGCAGAAACCAACAATAAATGTCCTTTGAGAGGACAAAATGTATAACGTATCAAGATCTAAATATTCATATTTGCTGCATAACAATTGAGAGCATATGAGGAAAACATCCCGTCCGAAGAAATTGATCAAATACCTGGTATCACAGTTGCCCATTCATTTTTGAATCGGAAACCCGATAGCCGCAAGACCCGCCTGCAAGACTCCAGAATCCTCTCCCTCGGCCCCATGTCGACCATTCTCAAGCCCGCGGTCGCCATTAGCCTGACTTCCGTATCCCTCCACCGGTCCTTCGCCACTTTCCCCTTGGCGAACTCCAACAGCTCCTCCAACGACGCCCCGGCTCGCTCCGGATCCCCCGAGAACGCCGACAGCCCCGGGGTCACCCTCATCACCGCCGTCGACCCGGGAACGAGTGACGGAATGGCACCCGACTCCCCCTTCGATCCGAAGACGTGGATCCGAGTGCCAGAACTCCCGGCGTCTATGATGATCCCAAATCGAAGAGGAGGAGGCGGGCTCCGGGAGGCAGCGGCGAGGTACACGATCACGACGAAGACCACCGACGAGGCGATCGAGAGCCATAGGCTCCGGCTGTGGGGCTTTTGGGCAGAGGACGGGTTCTTGGCCGGGAATGAGAAGAAACGGGCGGCGGGAGGGCGGGTCGGGAACTTTGGTGCGTCCATGATGGGCACCACCAACCAGGGATCGGGTGGCGGAGGCAGGAGGCAGATCTAGGCTTCCCCTTCCACCGCCTGGAGGTCCAGCTCCGCCGCCACCACGAACACCACCTCGACCCCCTCCTTTCGCCGGCGAGGAGAAGAGGCCGTCGGGACTTTGGAAAAGGTCTTGTTTAATGCTGCTCCTCCGTCCGCCGTTCTTTCATATGGCCCGGTCCACACAGGCCCAGTGGTTCATTGTATCTAATTACATTTATGCCATAAACTTAGAAAAGGATTTATTATCATCAAAACAGGTATATATACGTATATATAACAATTGCATGACTTCCCTATAAATATTATATATATATATTTTTTAATTAAAGTTTGGATGTGCCCTAAAAAACCCAAATCTTTTCTTTTGCATAGGGCTCCATGTTTCCCTTTTTTCAATAAAATATTTTTATAATGATAAAAGTTAATCATGATAATTGAAACTTCAAATTTTGTGCTTATATCATTTCTGAATGCTATATTTTCCGAACACAATAATAAAAACTTAATGTATCTCTCGATGTTCTTGGCAATATATATCACAAGGAAGAGTGAATGAATGACAAGCTTGATCGATGGCTGATAGATTTGACACGTTATCATTGCATGCTTTACCTGATTGTGCTAATGTTGGGCTGATCATAACAATGCATAAACATTGGCATAAAGCCTGTCAACCAATTGCTTTGGATATCAATTGTATTTCTCATCCACTTAATCGAATCGAGTCAAGTTTGATGATTTCAAATTAAATCAATATCAGTTGTGAGACGATGTACCGAGCGAACCGATGTGAGAGAGATTTGACGGATTTACGAGTATTGGTTCTTATATTTCTCTAATACTTTAAATTTAAAATTTTGGTGGAGTAATTAAATTTTTATTATTTTTATCAATTAAAATCGATAGATTCAGAACCAAACCGACAGTTCCTAAAAGAGAACGACAGTAGCATCAGATGAGCATTCAATCTTCACTGTACCAGCAGTAATGTTTCTTCAGCAAAACTCACTAAAAGCCACATAAATTCACTGTTACAGCAGAAGACAGACGATGGGCAGAAATCTCTGCAGGTTCTCTAACCCCCGAGTGTTTGAATGATGGTGTTGTGCCATGGGTCTGAAAGATGCTGCAGGAGGTTCTCAAATGGGCCTTTGCCGGTCAAGTTGTGCTGAATGATAAACGCCAGGAAGGCCAACATCGCCAGTCTCCCTGCAGAAGAAACAGGACAAGAATCAGCAGCTGAATCCTCGATCACTGCTATGTTGTTGCAGTGGCGAGCAACAATGTTACCATTTGCGAGCTCCTTCTCCTTGGCCTCAAGCGTGGGAGCGAAGTTGAGGGGGTTGAAGATGCCTCCGGGATAGCCAACCTCGTTTGGCGGCAAGCTGTAGCTCTTGAATATGGGGTCCTGGTTGACGCTTCCTGGGTACTTGATGTCCTGCCACCTTCTGATCTCCACGTAGTGGAACAGAATGAACTCGATGACGAAGAGAGTGGAGGAGGACGCGAAGTACTCGGCCTTGCCGGCGTCGTACCACTCCGGCGCGTTGATGATGCCGATCTTGGTGAAGACCTCCGGCAGTAACATCCCGGCCACGCCGAGCATCGCCCAGCGCCCGTTGACGAGCTCCGCCTGCACGAACCACTTGAGGTTCTCGGGGTCCTCGGCAAGCCCCAAGGGGTCGAATCCATTGTCACCTGCCAAGCTGCGTCATGGCATCGCCACGAGATCATCAGTCTAATCTACATCAGCAAGAGCATGAAACCATCATCGGAAGTTGTATGGAAGAGCAACCTGCCGTCGAGATAAGCCGGCGAGGCGAGGCCCGGCAGCCATTCACCCTTCTTGGCTTCCACTTTGACGGACCTGAAGGCGGAGGACGGCAAGGATTTGGCCGCAAGTTCTCTGCTCAGTTTGCCGGAAGACCCTGTCAGGAATCCTGTTCTCAAGCTGCACGGCCGGCGCAAGGCGGCAACCGAAGCCTGAGTTGAGACTGTGGCCATCTTTAAACCAGTAGAACTCCGGCAGCCTGATGGTTTGGCGTTCGTGTTGCTGGTGGAGTGCCTACTCCATTGCTATGTATACCACAGGAGAGATTTCCTATGGCCGTAATCCGGCTTTGTAGGATTGCGTGATTGAGCTGGCCAATGAGAAATTGAAGCATTATCCCTCCTTATCTGATGGCCAAATCCAAGAGATCTATTGGTGGAAAGACATTGGTCAAGAGAAAGATGTTGGTGTTGGCCCCATCCGATGCCAATTCTGTGATCCATCTTTGCTGCTACAGTGTGCGCATGACACCATTAGAAGCCACAGAACATCTCAAATTCTTTGGTAGAAATGAGCAATCTTCTTATCGATCATCTGTTCTTCGTGAGTCAAATAAAGCTTTCTATGAAAAATATACCAACACTATTAAGAACAATGAAATGTACTTGAATGAGACCACTGGAAAAAAGACACATACACTCGACATGTAGACAACAATGTCGAACCTCACATGCCAGGGGTGAAGGGAACTCCGGTTTTTGGTAGCCACAAATTGCCACCAACGAACGGAGTTACTGTGAACTCGTTAGCTTGCGCTGCCGTCATAGTTTTCACCCCCTTCCACTTGACTCTGTTCTTGGTGGACGACCCCGGCTCGGTGTTTCGGTACTCGGAGTAGAAGATGGTGTCCGGCGCCGAGTTCCCGCTCCACGGCAGCCACCCCTTGGGATCGATGATCCCCGCCATCGCCGACTTCATGTACACCGCCACCGCGTACGGCTTCCATGGCCGGCCGAGGTATATTCTCACTCCCGCGACGTTCCCGTTGGGCTTGATGCTGCAGCTGTGGATGGAGATGCCGGTGTTCTGGTTCGGGTCGACCCTGCCCTGGGCGGTGATGGTGTCCGGCTGCCCCGCCATGGGGGCCCTCGGGAGGATGTTGCACCTCTGGTAGACGACGGCGGCGTTGCCGAAGATGAAGTCGACGGTGCCGGTGATGTCGCACTCCTGGAAGAACTGCCGGAGAGAGTGCGAGTACAGCGTGTCCTGGAACGCGTCGAAGGAGCAGAGGTAGAACACCGACTGGTCCGACTTCGACATCATGGCCACCGCCTGGTGCTTCACCGCCCCGGCCGTGTTCCGGATTCCCATGTCTCGAGCTATGAATCCCTTCCCGAACACGGCTGCGCAAGCCAAAAGAATCAGTGTGAATCGAAGTTTGGACTACACATTAATATATGCTTGCGTACCCAAGGTTGCCGTCTGGAACGTAGGCGTTCCGTCGACGACGTTGCGGCTTCCGGTGATGATGGTCGCCGCCTTGCCATCGCCGACCATCATGACGTTCCACAAGGTCTTGTCGACCTTGACATTCTCCTTGTACACCCCCTTCTTCACGTAAATCACGGTCCTCTTTCTGCTCTTCTTTGGCACCGCCGCCAGCGCAGCCTTGATGGTCTTGTATCTGCCCGAGCTGTCTTTCGCGACGACGATGTCCGCGTCCTTCCGCACGTCAGTGCTCCAGAGCAGCTTACGGTCTTTCGACGACAGCCACGCAGGAAACGCATCCCGATCGTCGTTCGAAAAGCTCATCAGTCTTCGTAGCTTGAAGCGTCTGAAGAAATTGGTGAACTCGTTGAAGATCGCAAGCGCATTGCTTGCGAACTTGGTGGAGTTCGCCAGGCTTTCAACTACAACAGTCTTGACAGCCGGTAAGGCGCCCTCCATGTCTTCGATGCACGTGTACTGATCTGTAATGGCGGCGCTCAGCCATGTCTTGAGGTCATCGACGGTGTCTTTGGCCGTGAAGTTGGTGACAGACAAGGTGTCGTTGAGGTGGTCGATGGCGAACCCCATGAGGTCCTTGCATTCGGTAAGAGCGGCAGCAGTGTAACTGTCGAGGGACTCGTTAAGCGCGACAGAGTCGAGAGCGGCGGAAACCTTCGAAAGCTCGTCGAGGGTGATTTGCACGGCCAGCTGGAAGATCTTCACCGGGTCGAGCGTGCTGCCGTTGGCCAACGGGCCAAGGGAGCGGACGCACTGCTCCTGGTACAATGTGGCGCCGCAGGCGGCCTTGATGGACGAAGAGAACGTGTTACCAGTGTCGTCAGGGCCGCGATCGTCGGACCTGCGACTGGCCGCGGAGACCGTGGCTGCCACAACAACGGCGATCAGGATGAGGGCCGAAACGCCGATGACGGCCATTCGGCGCGCGGTGGCCCGGCGGGCTTGGAGGGCGGCCGCATCGATGCTGTCATCAGCCCGGCCATAGCTTCTGAACCAAGCCATGAAGGAGCTCGATTTGTGGGAGTAGTAGGAGGTGGGATGTAAGGACTTAAACATCACCATGGATATATACCTGCAGGCCAGTACTAAGGATCAAAGATCCATCGATCATTGATGGGGTGTCATCAACCAGAACAAAGTGTGCGGAAAAGACAGGTTCAGATTCAGGTGGGCGGTGCTCGCTCACGATGATGGAGAGAATGAAGCATTTCGCAGAGCCGCTGTTTTCACGTTCCATCTGCCCAAAGAATAAGACTGTGAGCTGATCCAAAGAAAGATTTCAGTTGGATCTAGTTGCATGAAAAGAGAGAAAAATATGTTAAAACCTGTTCAGATTTCTTATTCAATGCTGCATGCTTGGCTGGTGGTCAACCCAGAAAAAAGTTCAAGAATGTGAGATAGCAGCAAGAAAGAGACTGGTCTGCTACAAATCCATTGGAAAGCTAAAGGAATTAGCTCACATCTAGCTGGAGAACGCAATGTGGAAAACACTATCAGAGGTGGAAATAATGTGGATCATGCTCTTAAATCCATGGGTACACTTGAACCCATGGAAGCTGATACAATTGGTGCTGTATCACATACAGCTAAGTGTACGCTCACGGGCGTAGAAGAAGAGTTAAAAGTTGCTGTGCATTTGTGAGCATCTGGTCAAACCTTCACACTCACTATCATATAAAATCATATTGAAAACTTATGGAGGATTACTGAAGTGAGAGATGTGGATGCAAGGAGGCAGGAGTGTTGCAGACAGAACAGGATAAGCTTGGTTCTTGTTGCCCTGTGAACCATATCTGAAGACCAAACAAGAAATCTGACAAGGATTCAAAGTGTTCATCTTGCTGACAACAAATTTTAGAGAAACAAATATACAATATTGAAACTGTAAAAGGATTGACAATGCAAAAGTTTTAGATTGAAATTAAAAAAAGAAAAAAATGAAAACATTATAGAAATTTCTCAGCCCAAAAGAACTTGCAGCCCATTAAGTTGGCCCGAGGGCCCAATAAATCGGTTCCTGAGGCTCATCGAAGGCCATCCGATTGCCTCAAGATTCGCTTCCCAAAACCCTAACCCCTATTTCTATTCTCTCTCGCTCGTTCTCTCTCGAGTCGCGCCAGACTTCCGTCGTTAAAGCTCCCCGAAGCCCTAATCGGTTGGTTCGTGATCGGGTGCTTATCCATCTTCTTCTCGACGAAGAAGACCTAATTGACGCTTCGTCCGGTATGTTCTTGGTCCGCAGAAGCGTGGTCTTTCGTGTGATTCCTGTGTCATTGACGAACTCGGCAAGGACTTGTAGACACATTGCTTGAAAGGAAAATTCGAATTTGTTTTTGTTCTTTGATCCACCTTTTCTCATATGCGAGCGGTTCCGCTTTTTTATCTATGTCGTTGTTCACCTATTCGTTCATGTTATATCAAAATTAGAGATTGTAGGTGAATGATTTTTTCCCCCTTGTTTGCTTTCCCTTTTTGTTCTGCTTTGATCTTATTGACTGTATCTGCGCATGCCAGTTCAGTTTAAATGGGGAAGAAGCGTAAGCACGCTGAGGCATCTGAAGCTCCCAAGGAGGAAGTAGCCCAAGAGAGACCCAAGCGCACCCTTTTAGGATGGAAGGATGGTGTTCCTGAGAAGCAGAATAGTTCTCCAGTCTTTAGGAACAGAGAGAAGGTCCTTGTCACATGCTCACGCCGCATAACGTATAGGTAAACTGTTACGTTTGCTTCTTTGTTTGTCGAAGTTACTGTGTATTTATACGAGCTTTTGTTAATTCGGCATGATGGTGCTGAAAGGTATCGGCATTTGATGTTGAACGTGGTGTCCCTCTTGCCTCACTGCAAGAAAGACAGCAAGGTGGAGTCCAAAGAGAGCAAGGGGGCTACTCTCAATGAGTTGATTGAGCTTAGGAACTGTTCCAGCTGCTTGTTTTTTGAGGTAGAAGCCATATCGCATTCAGCAACTTTATTAACCTGTCAATTCTGCTCCTGAACTGTCCGCCCAAAGATTTAATGATATATAGTGTGTTACTAATACCTCATTTCAGACCTTGATTATCCGCTTATATGAGCAACCGTGTTACCAATCTAGAATTGTATACAATTCCTGCTTGCTGAATCGTGTTGCATTTGTTAAAGAAGAAACTAAGGAGCACAGTCTAAGTTGACTGGATCTGGATCTCACTCTTTGTCTTTTATAAATAACAACATTTCCATGTTAATGGCTGACCATTGTCATATTTTTCTGTATATAGCCTATTGTGGATAGAAGTTGGTTCTGTTTCTTTAATATACCTTGTGTTCAAGTTTCTTTTTTAATTATTGTATTTTCTCATTAAACATGAAATACATTTAGGATCATCATTCTATTTCCTTTTATCACACTTGCAGTATTTCCTATCTAATTTCTGCTTTATTCATATATGCCAGTGCAGAAAGCAGAAAGATCTTTATCTTTGGATGGTGAAGTGTCCAAGTGGACCTTCAGTGAAGTTCTTGGTTAATGCTGGTAAACAGACACTGATCTCTTATAATCCTTACTGATAATTTATGTAAAACCTCTAGACATCTACTTTTTATTTTATGTCATATGATCAATTTGCTATGGACTTTTACAAATCTCTTTCGTCTTTCTTGAAGTTCATACAATGGAGGAGCTGAAGCTTACCGGAAATCATTTGAAAGGATCACGCCCACTTTTGACATTTACCTCGAATTTTGACAAAGAACCTCGCTGGAAGCTTATCAAGGAAATGATAGTCCAGGTTTGCTTTGTTTCTTCTGATGGAACTTTTTTAATTTTGGACAGCCCATATTTAACTGTCTTCTTGCCTTTACATACTGTGAGATTTATAAATATGTGATTTAGAGCACACTCTAATTGATGGTAGCAAATGTTTCTTGTATCCATGTAGCTTTTTTTTTTTACCAAGAAATTTGTATGTAGCTGAATGAAAACTTTTGTGTGCTTAAGGATAGATAGAGCAGCTGCCATTTTCAACTGCTACTCATCTGTATATAGTGGACGGTTATATATCTCGTTGCTAATGTTGTAACTTGGTACTGTTTGAGTTGTATCGCTATTTCTGTTTCAGACTGTACGTATGGTTTTGTTCTATTTCTCCGTGAAGCTACTGTTAAGCTTTGTAGCTCCAAGAATGGTCAAGAGTCCTGTCCTACTGATCATGCATCCAAGTGACAGTGCTACAAAAATTACTCTCATGTTAATGATAATCGATTGGTGGAGACATTTCTTTATGAAATCATAATGATATTGGTCAATACTTAGAGCACATCAAACTGTGGTGGTTCTGTACTAAGAGTTTGCTATAACCTTGTATTCAGCAGGAAAAGAGGATCATTTTCATGATACTTAATATGTAGAAAATTTCCGAAAATTGGTCGAGGAGAGATGGCCATAGATATAACTTAGGAGCACATTATGGAGAGTGTAGCACAATATGGAGAAGTAGTTGGAATTTTTTGTTTGAGTTCTGCTTGTTATAAACTGCAAGGAATTATATTCTATAGTGATTTTGTTTCTTCTGACAATTGTGGTCGTTTAATTTTGTTTTTGTTGTTGATAAATTACTTCTCTATTTTTGTTATCTTGATGGTATTTTATTTTAATTGCAGATATTTGGTACTCCAAAGGACCAGAGAAAAGTAAAACCTTTCCATGACCATGTCTTTGTCTTTTCAATTGTGGATGGTCACATTTGGTTTCGCAATTACCAGGTAATACGTTGTAATGGGGATATATAGCAGACCTTAAGACATTTCCATTATGGTTTATGCACTTATGACAATGTTAACATCCTCTTGCAATCTATATTGATAGTTGGTTTTAGATTGACACAGCTATTCCACGATGAAGCGTTGCTTAATTATCTTCTCCTAGAAAATGTTTTTCTGTTAGCACAAAACCTTCTTCTGTACACCAACTTAAATCTTTTTGTTTATTAATGAAGCTATTAGTTGATTTATGATATACTATCCAGAGAAGGTTACCTTATTTGGAGGCAATTCTAACATTATTGTTTAATCTAGGTATCTACATTATAGTTGCATTCCTTTATCTATATTATTTAGATAATTTAGTTTGTTCGATGTACTTGTTGCCATTGGATGGCCCTGTTTGTAGTATTTAAATTTTGGTGTGATTTATGGCTTTATTCTAATTTAAGTGGTAGTAACAAAACTGTAAAATGCTCATATCAAGCTGGTCATTCTAAATTCTATAAAACACAGGCGGCTAACTACCGTATCTTAGTTGTAATATGTAAATTCATATGCAATGGCAAATGGAACACTATCTTTAAAGCTTTATTTAAGCTACAAGATTTGAGTGACTTTGGCCTGCAGAAGGTTATATGTTTTTTTGCCCCCTTTTTTACACACAGATTTCTGTACCCCATAATGAGACAGATAAGGTTGATCGTGGAGGTCTGGACAAATTGACACTTGTGGAGGTATATAATTGCTTTTATGTTTTAAAGTATGCAACAGAACTTGCATATTTTCATCAGTGATGACATGACAATGATTGGAAGCAGGTTGGCCCAAGATTTTGTTTGAACCCAATCAAGATATTTGGCAGCAGTTTTGGTGGTCCAACATTTTATGAAAACCCATTCTACATTTCACCGAATCAGGTAGTTATTGTTTTCACCCTTGCCTTGTGGTAAAAGTACTTGTTCTTCATGTTTCTTTGCTGAATATGTCCGAAAATTGTGAGGAAAATCCAACATCAGAATTCTTTCCCCTCATCTGGATTATAGTTTTGTGCTATCATGGCTAAACTAGGAAATAGTTCCGAGAAATTAAATAAGAATATTCTGAAATTTTCACTTCTTTCACCCAAAAGAATAATGACCTTTGTTTTTTAAACCCATTTCTTTGTGAGTCATGATTCATTGGTGTCTCCCATTATAATATCCTTGCTTCATGTCATTGTCATAGTCTAATATAGCAGTAACGTTTCTTGTTGATGATCAATTATGTAATTCCTAAATAAAAATTTTGTTCCCCTTTAATGGTGATCTCATTGAAATATCTTACCTAATTGTTGCAATAGAACATTTGAAACATGAGTTTTCTACTTGTCTTTTGCATCAATTTTTTAAGTTCTCATGGAAGACATTGGACAATCTTTTTACTACCGTGCTAAATTTGCCCCTTCTGGATTTAACGATACCATGATATATTTTGGTTCCTGAATCTTCTGTTATTATTAGCTTCCTATATGTAGAACCGACTGACTAGCATGTTGTATATGCAGATAATTAGTTCCTTATTTATATCAAGAAAGCTGAAATATCCCAAGACTCCTGCCAGTTCTTTGCTTACGTTTGTAAGCTTTATCTTTGATCTCCACCTAGTTTTGCAGCAGTGACATAAATATAGATGCTCATAATCACCAAAATGATACCAACCACAATGCCTGTACAAAATCAGGAAAATTGCCTTCAGTCCATCTTGTTTTGGTTTTCATTGTGGCTTCTTAGGTTTGTGTTTTTACTTTTTCTTAGTAGAGGTCTGAACTTTGAGCTATCTAAATCTGTTCCAATTCTTATATCATAGTTTTGCTTGGTATTCACTGAGTTGCTTCGTTCTGCAACTAGATCCGTGCACTAGAGAAGAAGAAGAAAGCTGGAAAGTATTCGAAGAAGGTGAAGGCCAAGAAGAGGAGAAAGATGCATGAGCTCTCCAACCCATTAGAGCCTGATGAGTTCGCAGATCTATGGAAGGATTGATAAATGCAAGCGTCCATGTCACTGTGCACTAGGAATCCAAATCCTGAGTTGTTTTTTCTGCTGCAATAACTTGCAAAAAGACGGTTTGTTTTAATTTTGTGGAATTCTACTATTAATTGGTTGAATTCTGAGGGTGTGAAAATGCAGCAAAAAAAAAATCCAGATCAAGGCAACATTATTTATTTCTCTAATGTTGTTTCCATTATCTTTTGCAAAATTTTTGGTAATAGTATATTTATCGCAGCAAATTTTAGTGTTTCCTCTACATTCTATTTCCTGATTTGGACAATGTCATCTAATTAAACTGCATACAATAAAGAGATTATTGTCTTAAGAGCTAGTTATGAATGAATCTGTAAGCATTACATTTACTGGGCATATTTAGGATGAAGAACATGTCATATACATGGCGCGCACACAGAGAGAGAGAGAGAGAGAGAGAGAGAGAGAATTCTGTAAGGATTTTCTTTATTGTTATTACAGATTCTCAAATTATAAAATGGAGAACCAAAAATGGAACCAAAAACAGAAAACCTCATTTTTTCTTTCATGTTCATAAAAATGCGGACAAAACAGTATCTGTTGATCAACGAAGCTGTCATTTGCAGCACAAGATTTTGAGAACCATAACATGACAAATGGAGAACTAAAATGGAGCAAAGCAACACTGTCATACCTTTTGTTTTGTTTTCATGTTGATAAAGATATGGCCAAAACAGTGGCTGTTCACATTAACAAGGCTGAGTCAGAATTCAATATCATTGATCTATCAGCAATTCTGATAAATGGAAGCTAACACACTTCTATTTTAAGATGACTATAACCAGAAGAACAATGATTGGAACATGTCTTTTATTCAATACTTGTGGAACATTAAATTTTGGGTGTGATAGATAGGATGATCATTTTAAATATATAGAAGAGTTTGAAGACTGACAAAGATACCTACTTTCCATAAACCAACTCTTTGTTGGCCAATTGGTGGAATTAGGTGCAGCACTTCATGAACAAAATAATATATTTTTTCATAAAACGTAAGCTAAAATACAATACATAATGTAAAAAAAATTAAAAGAAAATAAAATTTCCCTAAATGATATTTTTTCTATACTTTATGGCCCATGTGAACAAGCTAATAATTCTTTAAAAGAAAATAAGATAAATTGCAGTAAATGATGACACATACACTTTAGCAAACAAAAATAATACAGATGATAAAAAAATAATATAATATAAATATAAAATTTTAAATTTTATGGTGCACTTTAATAAATAAAATAATATTTTTTATATTTAAAATAAATATTTAATGAATAATAAGAAATTGCTTTAAATAAATTTTTATTAAAAATATTTCATATATGGCCCATGCAGGTCTCGAACCTGCGACCTTCGCGTTATTAGCACGACGCTCTAACCAACTGAGCTAATAGGCCAATTGAAAATTTATTTGACTTATAAATTATTACTTTAAAGACTATGCCTTGGACAAATATATTTGACTTTTTAAAAAATAAGCAAGTAAATTTGATAAAAACAATCAAATAAATCAACATCTGCAGTGGAAATGCCATACACAATTCTCTATCCAACAAAGAGCACAATAATACCGAGCAGAGATGACAAGGTAACACCCTCAACTTATCATAAATTTCATGCAAATACTTAGAAATGAAACATTACTTTCTTGCAACAAATCAATGGCATGTGTCATCATCATAGTCCCAACCTAAGACCACAAACCTTCACCTCCTTACAACACTAAAAAACATTCTTACATCAAGTCCCCATTGGCACTATTCCACTGTCAGCAATTCCTTGCGATCATAATTCACATTTTCATCAATGTTCTTTGTCAACATCTACTTCATCTTTAACTTCAGCATTGCACTTTCTCCCTACCTCAACAGAAGAATTAAAGCTTTCTGCTGCAAACTCCAATCTCATATGAAAGAGAAGAATTCGAGGATTTGAATACATTCATATCCAAATTCTCCTAAGTCTTCTTTCATATATTAGAATAGATGATGAATTACAGTCCTCATTTCACCATCATATTTAATTAAAAATATTTCACCCAAAGCTAATAAATACATTGAATCCTTTCTCAAAGTCTTCTTTCGGAATATCAGAACACCTCATGAATTAGGATCCTTGTTTCACCCAATCCTTTCCTAAGAGTAAGCTTTTGATACTAATGATCAACCAATCAAAAAAATTTTATCTTAAGGTCCCTCCTCATGAACTATTGCAGTTGTAAATTCCCTTCTCATTAGAAAGAGATGACTTCGAGAATCTGAAATCAAATACTTTTCTCAAATTTTCTTTCACAATATTAAACCCTATTTTACCCAATATTTAATTTAAAATATTTCACCGAATCTTTTCCAAAGGGTTTAAGGTTTTTTGGGATTAATGATCAACCAAAAAAAAATCTTTATCATAAGGGCCCTCTACTTGTTATTCGATCAGCAAGGGTGATCAAGAACCATCAATTCCTCACCAAATCCACATTGCCTAAAGATTTCCCTGGACGACTTGGCGCCCCATCAATTTTGGTGAGATCAGATTCTTCAGCTCGATCAGTGCCAAGAACCATATCACCAGGACATGCCATTGTGATCCATCTAACTAAATCTCACACACAATTACATAAGGATGGGAAGAAACAACTCCTGAAGAACTAATGTTAAAAATCTTGAGAAACCGTGATAGGCACAAATTCCTCAGGTTCAGTCGTCATTCGAGAGAAGATTTCTTGGGTTCTGAAGATCCAAAAGCTACCTGTTGTTCCACTCTAAAACCCCTTTCAAGATGCTCATTTCGAACACTACTTCGCCCTTTCGTTTGAGAAGATGACGAACAAAGATCCAATCAAGGTTCGTTGATGTAGAAAATGATACCAATTTTCACAAATGAAACCCATCCACAAGCATCGTAGCCTGAGACGATGCAGAAATGGGAAGCATTACCTTCGAATCCATGGTAGAAGGGAGGATGACCGATCGAGATCGCTGGATTTGTTGACGGGTTCAACCGTCGCTTCTCCTGAGACGATGATGTGATGGGCAGAGAGAGAAAAGGAGGAGAAGGCTCATATATATATATATATATCATCAACATCTCACATCGGACGGCTGATGTTATCTCATCAGACCCGATGGAAGATTAGACCGTCCGATCGAGATTCGCCCATAATTGTTCCCGCCAGTCTCACAACTTCGCCGCAACTCGGCCGAGTTGGGACGGGTCAAAAGACAACAACACGGGGCCGCAACTCGGCCGGTTCGAAGGCCATTATTAGGCCTTAAAAGCTCCTTAATTTTAAGAAAGTAGTAAATACAAAAAAAAAACAAATTATAATATAAGGTTTTACTTTTCCTGAAAGCTATTTCCTCATGTTTGCAAGGTGTTCTTGCTATATTCCATAGCCACAAAGCTGGAATGTGAATGTGACAACAACAATGGGTAGACAAACCTTAATGGTTACTGATGAGAATTGAACTGCATTCGGATTCTGCTTGATACTAGAATGTGTTGCATCTAATGTTGGATTCCTTTGGCAATGTCGTTTCCTATGTTTGGGTGTTCAGCATAGCAAATCTTTATAGAAGATATTTGTCAAAACCACTAAGCAATTGAGTGGGTAGCAAATCAAGGTTCAATGGTTTTGGCAATTTATAATCTTCCTGCTCCATGGAAGATACAAGAAGGGTGTTCATGGTTTATTGTATGGTCAGTTACATCAATAGTATAATACACTGAAGCAGATTCTCAACTTTTCAAATGATTAGCAAGTGGAAGCTGCAAGGGAGCAAACTACATGTTCCCAACTTTTCAAATAATTAAAATATAAATCTGATACCAATTTCGGTATTCCATCAAATTGGCAGTACCAATTTAAAGCAGTATTTGCCAAAAGTATGCTTGTTCAGATCCATAAAATACCAATCAGTTACATCTTATGGTGAGACTTCTACTGCCACATTTTTCATGATCTATAAGCTAGTAGTAGAATAAAGCTTGAGAATCATGAATAGAAGATGCAGAAGCTAGTTTGCAGAGAACAAATGATTAATTAGAATATTTTTGGAAAGTATCAATCAACTGAATCCAAGTAAACTTTAACTTGCAAGTATACAAACACTCACCACCTCTCTCTGACAATTCACAGAAAACTAAGTTGCTAGCACCACAAATTGGTGAATGAGTTAAAAACTTGTCTGTAACTCTATCGGCAATCTTAAGAACAAATGAGGCAACCTTCACAGATCCAACAAACTGTTGGTAAAGCTCTCAACTAACAGCGGCTGCAACCATGTGGCAACTGAAGAAAGAAAGAGCAAATCAATCACTTGTCTAACCAGATATCAAGGTGTCTATTCTAAATACTGCCATGAGATGTTAGTCAGATATCAAGTACAAACAAATGCAATTAAGAAAAAACATCATAAGTTTTTTCATGTAATATGTAAAGATTGGGAAAAGAATATGACAGATAGACTATAACTTGAAGGATAAAATTACAATCATGTTCATAGATCGATCAAAACACCCTTATCCACTATTTCCTATCTTCATCTTACACGATACTTTCTCCCTACCGTACTATACCATGAGTCACCTCTTCCTCTTGTCCCTCTCAATCCCCAATTTAAGTTAACTATATACAACAATAATAATAACAATAACAACAACAACAATAAAATTGTAAGTCTCAACTATTTAGGATCAGCTACATAAATTTTTTACCGTCATTGAAATTTATAAAAAAAATTATATATTTATTTTAGTTCAGAGTACTTCGATTTTTATTTATAGTCTCTATTAAAATCTTTTTAGATCTTCCTCTATCTTTCTTCGTACCACTAACATTAATTATTTCATTTCTTCTCACTATCATATTCGGAGGGCTCCTAAGCACATGCTTATATCATCTTAAACGATTTCCTCTTATCTTATCCTCTATCGAAACAATACCTAATCTTTTATAAATAAAAATATTTCTTTTTCATCTCAACAACAACCAAGAAAAATGAGAAAATAATACAAAATCAACCAAGAAAAAGATGGCTGAATAATTTAATAAAAAATTTACATCTGAGTGAAAAATAATAAAATTAATGATCTATGCTGATCATAACATTTATAATAAATGTATACACAAAACAACTTTGTCAGAGAAAGCAATATAGCCAGTCATAAGCCACCAAAGTTACCAAAGTAACTCTTTCGAGGGAGCTGGTTCATATCATAGCTCCAATGCTTATGAATGTGAAAGGCTGTTGTACATAATAAATTTCTATTTGGAAAGATTGACAGTATATCCGTCAACCCCATCTCTCCAAGAAAAAAAAAAGTGGGTTTCAGAGGAGGATATCATTCTGTTCACCAGAGAAAATCAAGTATATAGTGTCTTTTTCAATGCTGATTTTGTTTATTGAATGAATACCACAACTATCTACCAAGTTGAGAAAAGCATTGAAACACCAAAAGTTCTTCCCCGTCTACTTTCAGATAACAAATTCTGGTCATGAAGACCAACATCAAAACCAAATTAGAGAAATCATATTTAACAATTTGGGCCTTCAAGTGCAGAAATAGTAAGGCACAATGAAGGTAATATGCTGGAACAATGGTTTCCTTAAAGAAATAGTTCACATATACCTTTGTGCAGTTAGCCAGTTACAACTTTTGTCCAATCAATCCAACAGCTTCAGGTGGCCAGACCTAACATTAACAAAGAATTTGTAGGTGCAAATTCAATAAGTCTTGAGTGCAGAATGCAGAGGATGGCAGAGGAAAATCAAGATTCTAGTGATTAAATCCATGTTTGTACAACCTGTAACAGTTTCTTTTCATACTCATGATATTATGTTTAAAGATATAATATCTTCAGTCCAAATAGATGAAGACTTGCTAATGAGAATAATATCACCACTACAAGATTCACTATGCAACTCAATATGAGACAAAACAAAGCAGTGGTCATATTTAAAATTCAAACCATTATGTTATGAGCAAAAAATTTATCAACTCCTCATATCCTACCACTTCACTTACAGTATGTTAACTGCTACAACAATAAGTTACAATGTTCTTTTCTCCAATATTAACTTGTCAAAAGCTTAACAGTATATAGAGTTGTTGATAGTACCATGTAAAACTCCATATCTGTCTACTGTTGATAAAACAACCAAATTTTCCTTTTTGTAGAGGCTGAGGAATTTGTTCATCGAGAAGCCCCCCTTAACTATTGGCACCCTATGTTGGAATAACTCAGGTGTTTGCATCAGGTTCAGTCTGCTTTTAACATCCAAGAATTTCCTCTTCTCAATATATGCCCAAGTTTCATACTTAGGCATCAAGCAAAGTTATTATTCTTCAACTGTTAGACCATTTTAGACCAGATTTGTTTATGGCTTGCCATTGTTACAATGATATAAACCTGATTCAGCAATCCATCTTAGGAAACACAAAATACCATGGACAACAATAAGAAATCCAACCTGTCTATGATAAGTGGTCCACGAAAGGAGAAAGGTCCATTGAATATGGCTACATTACATTTCAAGCTTTATGTTTGTTCCAAAGGTACATATTATGGTCATTAATCGTGTCCCTACTTAACTGATGAGATTTGGCACTAACTCAATGAAAATATTCTATAATATATGGTTAACAATTACCAAGTTAGAATGTAGTATGATAATAGACCAAGTTAGTTCTGAAATGATAAAACCCCTTACTAGGAAAAGTGTTCCCATTCCTATCCTATCTTACACTTCAATCATTTAAAGGAAGATTGAAATATTTACTAAATGATTGCTTGTGTGACATCTCGGCAAACTACTAAAAAATAAGTTCTTGCGAGTCTAGTGTGATCATTTCCTTGAATATCTCCTTTATAAAGCATAAATGAAATCAATTTTTCATGTTAAAGGCAACTCTGCATCAACGGTCAAGTGAACAAGGAAATTTAGTCAACGATTATACCAAACATAAGTTAATTAGCATGCTGATAAAATCTCAAATCCAACCAGATAAAGCAACGAATATGCTACAGACTTAACAAAGCCATTTCTAGCCTAATATAGTTAACCTGAAAAACCATCAATAACTTTGGGTAGGACAGATCATTTGCAGCGCTCACCTTACAAAAAGCTCTCCCTTGGATAAGCCCGTAAGGTACAGGACCGAATTGCCTCGAATCTCTTGAAGAATATATGTTATCTCCCTGCACCCATACATGGCCTCCCGGTACCTGCAGCAGATAGACGAGCACCACCTAAAAAATTAGATCTTTGTACCCAAATGACAAAACCCCTGGGCAGATAAACAGTAAAACCCAGTAAAATTCATAGCTTTAGACACTAAAGTTCAAGGAGAAACCCATAAAAATCGCAACTTTATACCCACCACGACTGTCTGAGACGCGCTCCCGCGAGCGGGATCGATGAGGAAGGTGACGGCGTCGCCCTCGAGCCCCAGCACCCGCTTGGCGACGGTCTTCCTCGGATTCTCCGGCGACAAGAGGATGACCACGTCCCCAACGGCCAGAGATCCCCAGCGCGGCGAGACGCGCTCCACGGCAACGACGTCGCCAGTGAGATTGATGGTGGGCAGCATACTCGGGCCGCGCACCTGCCACCCAATAAGTCAAGTGGACGGTGACGAAGACGAGCGCAAAAAAATACGGCGAGACGGAGACAGTCGAGGAGGGACTCACGAAGGCGATGCCGACGACGTAGGTGTTGACGACGTGGACGAAGCAGGCGGCCTTGAGGACGAGGACGGCACGGTCGAAGGCCTCCTCCCGGATCTCCCGCCAGGGTACCTTCCCGAATCGGGCGGCGGCGCCGCCGAGGAAGGAAGCGATGCGGCTCCCCGCGGTCGACATTGGGCGCGGGCCACGACGGCGCTGCGGGAGCTGTGATACGCAAGGGCACGCCCCATTCTTATCATCATCATAATATCGTAATCGCACGAATCTCGATGTATGTCACGAGCTGTGCACCTGCTACCCATTTCCGAACCACGAAGTAAATATTGGGCCATAAATGTGCTCACATTATACCTCACTCTCAACCACCTATATACAAGCCCATATTTATGGCCCATAGGCTTCTAATCTATTCCCTAATAAGCCCATCTTCCTCTAATCCAAAAGTCAGAGCTGAAGAGCTAAAGCGGATTAAACTGTAAGATGCAAAGCTCTCGATAATGTTTAATTACATGCATGTCATTCATCCATTAACTTCGAGAACAAGGAGGAAAGGCATCTGCATCAATTATTCGTATATTTGTTTGACTTATCCATAATGGCAATGTGGTTAGAACATGCTGCTGCTCCTGTCTTGATGTTCATAACGTGGGAAGATTTGATTCCTGCAATCAAATGATATGTGATTAAGGCCGAGACCAGATGATATTAATGCCGCTAATTAGGTAATTAAATTGACAGCGTTCGAGGCGTTATCGTGCTTTGTCTCGTCGTCATCGACATTGTTTAATTGTTGAGATTACATTAACATTAGTAAACAATAAGAGTGATCAAACTCAGAAGAAGAAAAGGTTATCTCTAAGCAAAACAACAAATGTAGGGTCGTCACCTACCGGCATTGCATCCACATGACTACCCACTTCAAATAAAAGAACGACGACGAACACGTAGCCTATGTATATATACATATATATATATATATATATATATATATATATATATATATATATATATATATATATATATATATATATATATATATATATATATATATATATATATATATATA